ATTAAAAAAAAAACTATTATAATTTAGGTTAAAATTTGTCTTAAGAACTAAACTTTAATCTCTGCCAAAAAAAAAAAAAAAATGCATAGATATTAAAAAAATCATGATAAATTGAAGTACAATTAAATAAAGTATAGAAAATTCTAAAATAGAAAAAAAAAAATATTTAGAGTAGTTTAGAGGTATCTCTAAGCAAAAAGAATGCCTTGAACAATATTCGTGGGAAAGAGCATAAGCTAGTTAGAAGATTTGCTTATAGTTGGTCGAATTGTCGCTTCGTTGCAGCGTCTTCAATTTCTTCTTGTTGGGCTTAAAGGCCGCGGGCTGTGCGACGAGCGCTGCGGCTGCGGCGGTGGCTGCATTGCGATCCTTACGGGTGACGGGCATGTCGTACGGCGTACGCACGATTTCCGGCAGATGGGCATAGTAGACGACTCGCTCGTTGCGGTTGCGGGGCGACGACAGCTGCTGCGGCAGCTTGGGCGAGACATATTTATTGCTGTAGGAGTCGAGCACGGGCATGGCCATAGCCATGGGGTCATCGATATAGCCACGCCGCGACTTGATGTAGTCTGTCGGCGGTGGGGTGTCCAGATGGCGATCGGGATACATGAGATAGGGTTCCGGATATTGGGGCACTCGTGGACTGTAGCTATCGTAGGGATCGAAGCGCTGCCGATGCACGTACATGTCCTCATAGTACGGCGGATAGGCGCGATGGTACTGCTCATCAAATCTGGAGGGGTCGGGAGAGTGCCAAATTAAGGAAATGCCTTAGGGCCCACCTGTACTCACCTGTCGTAGCGTCTGATGTACGGGTCGTACGACCTAGACGGATACATGGCAATCGATTTGCCCGTATACTGTCCATACCAGGGCAATGGATTGGCCATCCTCTCGTCCTCGGGCTTCCGTACGTAACCCAAGCTCTGGTCTCGCCCAGGTGTGCGTATCGCTGCAGCGCCACTCAGATCATTCTCGCCTGGCACAGTGTCCATTGTGCGCCGACCCGTTGTATAGTAATCGTAGTCCGCATACCTGGCCGAGGATTTGCCAGCCACTCTCAGCTGTTTGCCCGTTGCTCCATGCTCCACAGACTCAGCTGCCTCCACGTCCAAAATGCTGTCCGGACTCTCAAGCTCAGCATTCCGATTGCTATGCTCGTAGCCAGGCTCCGCACTCACGGCTAGCATCTGCAGTGAGCACAATATGAACAGACCTTTCAGCTCCATCTCGATGCGATGCCAACTGCAGCTGCCAGTTGGCCAAAATAGACTGATGCCAAGCTGCGGCCCCTGGCCAAATAGACGAAGCCACGCAAATGGCCAACAATAATCCGGCGACATGGTAAGTTAAACTTCAATAGGCAATTGTATTATTTGATTTGGCTCGTTCGTTTTTTTGGTTCTATGGTCAGTCTATTGARTCAGTCAGTCCATGAAGCGCAAGAGTGCACAATTCAAGTCAAGCAGCAAACTACCCACTCGAATACCCACTAAAAAAGAGCAAACTATGCGCTGAGAGAGTTAGCGCCTGCTAGTGCTGGAAATATCAGGGCGAAATTGTTAGAAAAATATTTGCAATACAAACGACTCGGACCCCCTGAATAATACTGAATAATACAGTTATGCTTATGTGAAAAGCGGCTTCACATAGAAGCTACAGCTACAGGAGCTCAAAATTGTAGTACTTCACCAGGAACTCAGTCTTGAATCTACTGCCATACGTAACTCTAAAGCTAAGACGTATAGACGCCCCCATGGACGGACTATATAATCCAGCCAGACAGAAGCTCTCCATTGATTCTACTGCGAAACTGTAACTAGACCATCTGAACTCCAAAGTCTAGCAATACGCAATTTTTCTTCCGATGTACCAAGCAAAGGAGAGACTATATATATGAATCCATTATGGGTCAATATTGGATATTACATCCATTTACAAAAGCTTTTAAAGTGGTTAAAGCGGTATACGTTTGCTATGACCTGATTCTATTTTATTTATATATCCAGACATCAAACATCGAACCATTAACCTTAACTCAAATTATTTACAGAGTAACTCAAATCAATACGCTCATTGAAGTAGCGATGCTCCACCTATATTTGATGTCACTTTGTATATATCTAACACACATACACACTCACACGCACACGCCCATCAACACAGCATAAAACTGCATTCTCTTTGAAGTTCAGAACAATAGCAGCTCGAACTTGTCCAAGCTACGCTCCGTTGGCTGCGACAAAATGCATTTTGTGATTTGCATTTGAAAACAATGAGAGTGAGAGAGAGAGAGAGAGAGAGAGAGAGAGGGAACAGGCAAGGGCTCGAACTAACGGCATTTCTAAGTGATTAACAATATGGTCAGGGCTTTTAAGCTCAGCAATTCAACAAGAATTCAATTAATTGTGATTTTAATTATTATGAAATTTGTAATACAAATATATATTTCATAAAATTTCATAAATTAAATTATCAAGTCTTAAATTTAAAAATGATCTAAATTAGTTTTGAATAACAAATTAATATATGTATATATATATATATAGTATGTATGTAAATCATTTGTAATGCTGGACAATTGTTTTGCTTTTTAATATTTTTTTTTTTTTTTTAGGGAACTAGGTTTTTTTTGCTTGTTAAAAAACAATCATGTTTTGTAACTGTGACAGCGTTGACCCAAAATGTATCGATTCCGGCAGATTTTTGATTTGCAACAGCCATCTTTGGCATTCTAGACACTTTCGCTGGCGATCCTCGCGTGTCACATCGACGCCCAGCCCATTGGCAGCCCAAGAGTCCAGATTTTCTTGGATCATTGGCAAGAAGTTTGATAATATGATGCGCAGCGTATCGCAGGCTCTTGTGAAATGACTGCAAATGATGAAATGAAGAATCAAAATATATATGATTATTATGTATATATGCAGTTTACTYACAATTTGTGTTGACTTTGCAACAGTTCATACAGTTCTGGTAATACAAATGTACAAAAATCCAAATTCAATGAAGACCTAAATGAAATGAAATTTAGAAAATATAGAGAACAAAGCGAACATCAATATAGGACTTACGGCTTCTCCAGTATTGCACCTAAAAGATCTATAAAAATGGAGCGTCCAGCTGACTTGGCCAACCTAAGTGCACTTAGAACATCATTAACACTAAACAAGTGGTAAATAAATCTATAAGTATCTCTGTTAAATATGGTAAATCTGATAATGCTCACCGTGTCGAATTGCGTAGCAAATCGAGACTAGCTTGGCGATTGCTCAATTCCTGGAGCACAGCTTCGTGTGATCTCGAGAGCATATCAAAATCGTATTGCTCATCAATGAAATTACGATTCATATTCTTGCCCGAGGTTGGTATCAAATCCGGACGGTAATTCATTGGCGGCTATAATTCAAGATTTATCTTAGAGTAACTGAAATTTGTATGCTGTTCAATTCCATAATACATACATGAGTAGGCTTCTCCTGGACCTTTGCCTGATGTGCTGGGGTACGCATATCGAGGGTCGTACGGGATCTTATTGGTGGCTTCGTAATAATCTCCACACTTATATTCTTCTGCTGAGCATTCTCTTTGTAGAACTGACTCTGCGAACCCATCATCGTTCGCTTGTTCTTGTTGACAACAGTTGTGGACGTTGACTTCTTGAGTACCATATTATCGTCGAGCTTGTGCAGCTCCATTGAACTAACTGAAGACGTCTGGCTCAGCTTGTTGTTGCCAAATATTGACGTCGAAGTCTGTTTGGTATTGCCCATCGCAGTGCTCCGTTTGTGCAATGTTGTCGTTGTCTTTTTAATTGATTTCGATGAGGCGTTTATTGTTGATGCAGGTACTGTCTTGTAGTTGCTGGCTGTGTAGTTCTGGTTGACTGGAAAGTCTTCGGCCATCTCACAGTTATCATAGTTATTGAGTATTGGCGGATTGCTGTCGTTAGGACTATACTCGACGTCATTTGCAATTGCAGCCTTATCCAATGGGTAGAGGTTGTAATCGTCTGGCACGTGCAATGAGCTCGGCTGGTACACGTTCAGTACACGGCTGGAGCCCATATCTATGCCATAGTTATAAGGCAGATTGTGTAATGATGACATTGACGATGATTCGATATGTTCCAGTGCAGCCTCATTGACAACCTCCAGACTCAAATTTGGTGACGATTGCTCATCGTAAGTTTGACTTTTATTGTCCTCCTGCTCCTCCTCCACTTTGGCCGGCTTGGCTCCTCCCATCGATATTCTAAATTTTTGGGTACCGCGTGAGAAGCTCTTGCGATTGGTTGAGTTATGCTTGAAATTGGGCTCAGCATTTGCCGGCTGATAGAACGGTATCACACAATCAAGGCTAACTGTATTAATTGACACGGTATCAATTTCATGGCAGCCACAGATCTGTAAGGCAATCAAATACGAATTAATGATGCTATAATTAATTAATAACGTTGTAGATAGCTTACAATCTTATTTTTGATCACTTTCATGTCATCCAATGAGACCCAGTTACCTTTGATGTGATCTAATTCACGGTCTGGTTCCCATCCAATCACAGTTATTCCGGCAGCGCTGCCCACAAACAGACACTCGCCATTCTCGCTAATGGGAGAATTGTTGTTATTAAATATTATAGTAGATAGATGATTGCCCCCAATGGCTTACCTAAATGTAATGCATCTGATAGCCTGACCATAGAAATGAGTTGTTTGGGAGACAAGCAGTTGATGTTCCAAATCATAGATAGACACAGTGCCATCCACTCGGCCCGCTGCAAGCAGAAACTCAAATGGATGGAATTGTATGCAAGTGATAGCCGTAACGGGTGGCTCTGCTATAAACTCCATTATCTGTTTGCTCTTGCGTATATCCCATATTAATATTGATCCTTCCAGGCCAGCGGAAGCGATCCAAAGTCCATCAGGTGAAAATTTCACTGAATTCACATGTGATATGTGTCCTTTGCAAACTTTAATGCATTTATTTTCGTTTTGAACATCCCATAGTCTAAAAATGTAACAAAATAAACACAAAAGTTAATTAAAATATTAAAATAGGAAATTAAAATTAAAATAGGAAAACCCGTTTAAACATAGCTCCTAACAATTGAGTCGACTAATGTAATTCGCAGAACAAAAAATGCAGTTCAAAGTCGGCGCCTTATTGATATCGATATACTCGCTGCAGCCCTGTATAGCTCCGTGCGATACTATCGACTAAGCAAATAACCAACAGAGTGGACGGCAATCGGCTAACATTCCACCACTTTCAACTGTCTGGCAATATAAAAATTGCTATGAACCTCTGTTCATAATCCAGTTTTTGTTTTCATTTTGCAATAGGCTTATCGATAATTAAAGTGCCCTTTGTACCGGCGATACAAAGATAATTCCTAACTTAAACAGCCAATATATGAGATAAAGGTAAAATATTCTTGCATTTGACATTATTAATATATGTTTTGTGGGTGAGTGTGTGTTTGCCGTACACCTATGTATATATATATGTACATATGTATATATAAATAAAAACTAAACAAAGACGTATGTTGAATTTATTTGGAATATACGAGATTGTTAACTTGTATGCGATCACATCGAGCCATAGGACTTCGATCAAACATTAATCAATTTGAATTCAGACACGTAATCAACCTATTCTCAATGGAAAGTAATACTAAGCTTTAACTGCATCAACTAACACACACACGCACACACATACATATATACAAACAAGTCAGTGTTTTCTTAATGTATGGAATCTAATCTAACGCTGATATCCTATCAGTAAATATATTCATATGTGTATCTGTGACTGAGGTTGAAAGTTCATCGACCACTGAGAGCTAAGCTAAAATTTTTCATTTATAGACGTCTCACAGCCGAATTGACAGTTGATTGCTTCGGTATCCGAATTGCAGAGAACAAGTTTATACCACAGACAAGTCTCTAACCATATACACAGAAAATGCCTTCAGCTGCGAAACTGCGATTTGATGGCCGTGTGGCGATTGTTACCGGCGCCGGAGCTGGCCTTGGCCGGGAGTATGCATTGCTGCTGGCATCGCGCGGCGCCAAGGTGGTGGTCAACGATCTGGGCGGCAGCCATGTGGGCGAGGGCGCCTCTCAGCGGGCAGCCGATGTGGTGGTCGAGGAGATTCGCAAGAACGGCGGCGAAGCTGTCGCCGATTACAATTCAGTTATTGATGGTGCAAAGGTCGTTGATACGGCCATCAAGGCATTCGGACGTGTTGACATTTTGATTAACAATGCGGGCATATTACGTGATCGCAGCATTATTAAGACGACGGATCAAGATTGGAACCTGGTGCTCGATGTGCATCTCAAGGGCAGCTTCAAATGCACACAGGCCGCCTTTCCGCACATGAAGGCCCAGAACTATGGACGCATCATCATGACGGCGTCCAACTCGGGCATTTACGGAAACTTTGGCCAGGCCAACTACTCGGCGGCCAAGATGGGTCTGGTTGGCCTGGCCAACACGGTGGCCATTGAGGGCCAGAAGAACAACATTCATTGCAACGTTATCATTCCAACAGCAGCCAGTCGCATGACTGAAGGCATCTTGCCCGACATACTCTTCCAGGAGCTGAAGCCCAGCCTAATTGCGCCCGTCGTTGTCTATCTGTGCCACGAGTCCTGCGAGGATAATGGTGCGTATAACGTAATGCTCATCATATAAATATTCCCCTAATCTGATTGTCTATATCTTCTTTAACAGGCAGTTACATTGAAAGCGCTGCCGGCTGGGCGACCAAGGTGCATACGGTGCGCGGCAAGGGAGCTGTGGTGCGACCATCAATAGATGAACCCTCAACGCTTGAGTACGTGCAGAGTGCATGGAACAAGGTGACAGACATGTCGCAAGCGACACACATCAATTCCATTTCCGAAGCCTCGGGATCCCTGCTGCAGGTGCTGGAGAATCTGAAGGCCGGCGATAAGGATGCCATCGAGGATAGCTTTTCATTCGGCAACAAGGAGCTGATCCTTTACGCCCTGGGTATTGGCGCTTCAACCAAAAATCCCAACGACATTCGCTTCTTGTATGAGAACGATGGTGACTTTTCTCCGATCCCATCATTCTTTGTGCTGCCTGGCTTGCTGCTGACCATGAGCAGTCCCCTGGTGTCCACGGCGCTGCCCAATAGCAACGCCGATCTGACCAACATTCTGCACGGTGAGCAGTATTTGGAAATTGTTGACGACTTGCCCACCAGTGGCACATTGGTCACCAAGGGCAAGGTGTTCGATGTCATGGACAAGGGCTCCGGCGCCGTGGTCGTAACCAGCTGTGAGTCGTTCGATGACAACGGTCGCCTTCTGGTGAAGAATCAAAGCGCCATCTTTGTGGTTGGCGCCGGCAAGTTTGGCGGCAAAAAGGATCCCATTGCCGGTGTTGTGCCCCTGGCGGCTGCTCCCAAACGGGCACCCGACGCCTCCGTAGAATACAAGACCAGCGAGGATCAAGCTGCCCTGTATCGACTCTCCGGTGATCTGAATCCATTGCACATCGATTCGAACTTTGCACGCCTATCCGGCTTCAAGACACCCATTCTACATGGACTTTGCTCTCTGGGCTACTCGGTTCGTGCGGTGCTCAGCAAATACGCCAATAACAACAGTGAGCTCTTCAAGGCGGTGAAAGTGCGCTTCTCGGGCCCCGTGCTGCCGGGACAAACCCTAAGGATCGAGATGTGGAAGGAGAGGGCACGCATCCACCTGCGCACTTTAGTCGTAGAGACGGGCAAGGAGGTTATCTCGGGCGCCTATGTCGACCTGAAGGAGTCTACGGCCAAGTTGTAAATTCAAATTCAAGGCTGGCTGAAGCGAGGCAATCATCACTTATACATACATAGTATGTATTACATACAAATATGTATATATAAATATACACATATATAATATTACAACATAACCAGGCGGTGGTATAAAAATATTGCAATCAACACACTTACAACTCTGCTAAATGTAATTGTTCTCTTGTCTAATTTTAATAAACAACAAATATCGACGACTTTGGACTACTTTACATAATACTCTGGAAGAAAGACTGCAAATCATGATCCCAGTTCCGTAATTTCTACGGCGGAGTTAAATTAATAGGCAATTGATATTGGCGAGGCATGCATTCAATTTACTTTAACTAGAAATAGGCTAAACTAGATAGAGCTAGCGTATACCACAACAGATAACAAATGATTAAGAACCGGATGGAAGCTAAAAATTACGAAGCGGGGAAAAATAAAATGACTGAGGGATATACTATATGATATCATATCATATTATGATATATACATACATATATATTTAGACTTTTCGGGTTAAAATGTGCAGTCTAACCCTAGAGGCCTATTCAAATTTGTCTTTAGTACAAACTCTATAAAGCAATCGAAAGCAAATGGAATTGCATGACGCATATACATATATTAATATATACACCTATACATATGCACATACATATATAATATATACATGGCATAATGATGTACAATCTACGATATCAGTTCAACCATATAAAACAGATGTTGCTACACAATTACATGAATGACAGTGAGACGGAAGATGTTGTTGTCGCACTTCAAACTAAATCGCGACTCATATAACAATTAGAGAATCGAAATGATATTATTGTAGAATAAACCAGATGTAAAACGATCTGTGTTAAAATAAGAGCTACGTGTACTTACCTAACCGTTGTATCATTACTGCCCGATACTACGTACTCCCCGGATGGATTGAAGTCCAAGGTTCGCACACTCTTCATGTGCCCATTCAATGTTGAATAGATTTTCTGGGCATTCAAGTCCCAGCGCCGTATGATGCCAATATCATCGGCTGAATATACAAAATTATCCTTATATGCAAAGCGAACGCATTCAATCGAACGATTGTGGCCAGTCAGAGACTATATAGGGAGGTAAAGTGATATGGTTGTGAATGATATATGTATATATTTGATATTCACTATAGATCTTCATATACAAACCATAAAGCATTCATCTTGGCCAATCGCCCATAGATTGACATTCCGATCTTCGCCTCCAGTGACCAGCACTCGACCCGTTTCACCCAAATCGAGGCTTGTGACTCTGCCATCGTGTGCCTTAATGTCATCTGTATATCAATAAATAAGTAAATATACATACATATATATTGATTACAAGAAATGTTTGGATTAAAGTCAAATGCGAGTTAAATGTTTGCTTATAGCTTGTTGTTCATTTTACGTCTACGAACAGCATTCGATTTCCTTACTCAGAAAACATATGTATGTATGCACCGAATCGAGGCTAGGCTAACTTAATGGGAAATTGAAAGATATATTGTTTATTTCTTAGGCGGAAACTGACTGACGATCGTATTACTCTTCTAGTGATTTATTGATGATTCAGTGGAAACTAGAATCAAAATTACATTTATTTCAATTTATGAAGTGAAATTTAAAACACATCAACATATAATAAATTATAGATTTACAATAGATCCATCAGCATGTATTTTAAGATCAGTTCAAAATAAATTCAAATAAAGGGTGACGAAAGCAGTTACAGATTTATATGAGAAGAAATATTAATACTTTAAGATCCGTTCTATCTATTAATAAAATAATTTAAGTAAAATGAATTATAGACTTATATGACGTCGATTAGTGGAAATATATAGACATATATTCTAAAATCTATTCCATCAATTAAAAAATCCATTCAATACATTTAATAAAACTGCTTAAATGCATTTTAAATAGTTAGAATTTATCATTCTATATTTATATAAAATCAATCAACGAAAATATATAGATTTTAAAACTAAAGTGATTTAAATATATTTCATAGATATTCTAGATTCATGATACATGAGATCCATTTCTGAATATAAACAAATGTTCCATATATGCACATACACACACATACATACATGTGGATCACTGTATTATATGCAACAGATACGGCATGCTGTAATGTTTTGCCGATATTTAGGAAGTTGTTTATGTTAATCTATACAATAGTGGAATGTTTATTTTAGCTTTTTATGGTTATTTGATGTCGTGACCTCATCTTAACCTAACTCCAATACTTTTACATATATTAACRCACGCACATTACACACGCACGCACGCACACACACATGCAGCGGCACACATGTGTAACTGCACAGCTCCTTACAAGGGCTGCATCCCACATGCAATTATTTGCATGTTATTGGCCAAAACCGTCTGACACCAAAACACAAACACACACACATGCTCGCACACATGTACGCACTCACAGATAAACCGCTCGGTGTGCATGTGTGTCGGCCAATAAGTATCAGAACTACTTTCATAGAGTTGAAATTCTATTTTACTTACATATCTTTGCCACAAGATTTCTCGGCAGCGCCATTTCCAAGAAAATTACCGTTACAGGTGTAAGTTTAGGTTGAGCCCAATATTATATGTTTAGAGCGGCAATATTATCAATATTTTATTTTATTTTGTCGCAGGTGTGATAATTTTTAGTGGGTTTGAGTTAAGTCGGATCAGCTGTCCGCTATCTCTTTTATTAGCCTTACAGACAACTTTATTAAAAAACACAAGAAATCATAAACGCATATGAACAGACGTAACTAAACCGTTTTACATGATTAATACCGTATTAATATTATACAACCGTCACATCAAATAACGATAAACTTTACAAAATTCGTAGACTAAACAAATGCACATCATATATGTATGTAAATACACACATATATATATATACAAGACTACCAGGGCTGGATAGCAATATTTTACTCATATGCTGTTGCCACCTCGTTTTTGCTATGATTATTGAAGGCAATTTTTTCCCAAATGTGGCCAGTCATTGTCAACAGTGCCAAAATGTTATCGATACCTTGGTGAGCATAACAACTCTGTGGCTCTGTCAGGCTTTCCTCAAAAAAGCATCATCATTGCGCTGTCGAAAATTTGCCGACTGCATTTAAAAGTTGTATTAAGTTAATTTACGCTGCGTGTTTAAAGGGAATTAATTAAAGATGTCTTCACGTTACGATCGTGCTGTTACTATTTTCTCTCCCGATGGTCATTTACTTCAGGTCGAATATGCTCAAGAAGCGGTTCGCAAAGGTTCCACAGCGGTATGTTAACGACTTGTTATTTTTATTGAGAGTGCTCAAATTTATTCATTAAATTTCTGCAAAAGGTTGGCGTGCGTGGTGCCAACTGCGTCGTCCTGGGCGTTGAGAAAAAGTCGGTCGGCAAACTGCAGGAAGATCGCACAGTGCGCAAAATTTGCGTTCTCGACCATCACGTACTAATGGCATTTGCTGGCCTCACTGCCGATGCACGCATCCTTATAAATCGTGCCCAAGTAGAATGTCAGAGCCATCGTCTCAATGTTGAGGATCCCGTTACACTTGAATATATAACCAGGTACAACAAACACGATGCTCAAACATTTGGGATTCAATACTGAAATTGTTTTGTTTTGCTTTGCAGATACATCGCACAACTGAAACAGAAGTACACCCAAAGTAATGGACGACGTCCATTTGGTATATCATGTCTAATTGGAGGCTTTGATGCTGATGGATCGGCACACTTGTTTCAAACTGAACCATCGGGCATATTCTATGAGTACAAAGCCAATGCCACCGGACGTTCGGCAAAAACGGTGCGTGAGTTTTTCGAGAAAAACTATCGTGAGGAGGATGTCAGCACTGAGCATGGCACTGTGAAGCTGGCCATTCGCGCTTTACTCGAAGTTGCTCAATCTGGTCAAAATAATTTGGAGGTGGCCATCATGGAGAATGGGAAACCGCTTAAAATGCTGGATCGCGAAGTCATATTAGAATATGTGGCAATCATTGAAAAGGAGAAGGAAGAGGAGCTGGAAAAGAAGAAACAGAAAAAGTAATACCAATTCCAATTTCATGTTAAGTCATTGGTATTGGTATTATCCTGTGTTATTCTTTAACTACAATAAAAACAAAAAAAATCTTTTTAATTTCATATTTTTATAAAATTAAAAAAGGTGTACAATGGAACACGAATATTTAAAAGATATGTATCAAATACATGGTCTTCAAAACAAAAACGCAGCTTTATATACTTAATGAGCAGGCAGGCATGCTTCGAAAGATTCTACCGGCTGTGAATAATAAATTTAAAAAAAGAAAAAATATAACTATACTTGGGGCCACACGCGATACATGCTATTAAAAAATTTTAAAGGTTTCCAGCTGCAATTCACGTTGACGGACTCTTCATAAAATATATGCTACAAAACAAAATTGTACATAAAAATATTTTTTTTATTTATTTATTTTTTTGTTTTTTTTTACATTCTTCTCTTTATCTTAAATTAAATCAAAAATACCTCGGAGGCATTTAATTTAGGCTCGAAAGAATTTAAAAGGCAAAGTCGATTTAGTGTTGACAGTGACGATATTTGGAGAACGGCAGGCAACGATAATTGGAGCTTTGCACAAAGTTCATATTGAACGATATTATTGTAACCCATCCCTAAGGCAAGCAAGTGCTTTAGAACACTGGCAGCAACAGTGCTGCAGATTGCACGCCTAAATTCATATGAGAATTTCGCTTAGTTTACTACTACCACTGTCCGGAGTCGAAAGTTGCGCCGAAGAAAAACCGAAGCAATAATACAAAAAATACAACAGAAAAAAAGAAACTATTGAATTGAATTGTATAAAGCGAATATCGAGAACAAGAATATTAAACGCTTCTGCTGCTATACGACAACATAAAAAGAACAAAAATTAACAAAACGCCAGCACTGTTTCGCTTTTCATTCCCTTTGCCTGTCATTCCAAACCAAGCAACACCATCAGACTAAAATCAATAATTTAGTTGTGTGGTTTTCGCGGCTTTTTGTGTTTTCTTTAAAAAACAATCAATACCCGAAGGTAACGTGTGTAGTAAAATAACAATTCACCTCAGTGTGCGTTTGCATTCGTTGACGCTTGACATATTGGTACACAATTTATTTATTTATTTAGTTTTTCTATAAATSATTTTTGTTCTCTTTTTTTTATTGTTTGTTTTATAAATCATACGAATAACATGAGCATTATGAACAAGATAATTTTTGGCATCCTTCAAATTTCGAAGCACTTAGCACCATGTTAAAAGGCTGCCAACCCTTCCTCCCCCTCCACACACACACACACACACTCTCACACACACACACTACACACGCATTAAGTATAAGAAAAACCACGTACTATTTATGAAATGTATATAAATACTTATGTATGTACATGCCTCTATGTACGTACATACATGCATACATGCAGCATACATATATAYGCATGCACACACACACAGACACATACGCATTAACTTAAAGTTTTTATTTGCGCTTCCGCATATATTGGTAGAATGCGTTAAGCAGAAACAAGTACAAAAACAGAACTCAAATCGAAACGAATCGAATCCAATATATTGCTGCATATAAATGATTTGCATATATTAAATATACACATACATGTACATATATAATGTAAATGTGTAGAGATAATATACTTACATACATACATATATATACTTTTCACTTCGAATTTAATTTGTTTATACGCTCGTTACATACATATGTACATATATGACTTTTATAATGCACCTAATTATGTATATGTATATGTATTTGTGTGTATACACATGTATCGGTATCCCTATGAACACACACTGACGCTCCAATCTTATCTTTGGCATAAGTGGTCCGCGACGGTTGGAAAAGGCCTGTCCTCTTATCTCTGTTCAGTTCAGACTGTCACAATCATCCAATACACCGTATTACGAACAGAGTCATATACAAACATACATACACACACACACGCACACACACATACTTATAGATACTTTGGTTGAATTCCATTAGGATTTACACTTGTTAATCGAAACTCTGACTCAGTATAACTCTGTCTAACTCTCCTCCCCTTAGGTATCAAGATCTCAAGATTTCAAGCAAGCGCATCAAAATATATCAAATCCATAATGAAATTAATCAAATATTCTGTAAATATTTAAATATGTATTGTAAATAAGACAAAATTAAAAACTGTATATAGAACTTTATAATGTATTATATGTACTTTTGATCTGTAGATTTTCTCATTTCGTTTCTCATACCATGAACTATATTCGGTTCGCCGAATAGCAAAAAATTTCCCGATTTTCTGCTCTTTCCTTTTACTTTACTGTCTGTGTATGTGTGCGTGTGTTGACCCGACCTGACACTCTCCGTATTTCACATATAATACAATAGAATGGGCACAGAAACGAAGAGCAACAGTTACACAGGACAGATTTCAACAAGTGGCGGCAACCCTAAAGTGATGAAAGATTCTTTATCTTTAGTTCGTCAAGCGGTCAAACAGCAGCAATCGAATCAAATCAATTTGAATTCAAATTCGAACACCAATCCGAATCCGAACTCCAACTCCAACACCAACACCAACTCCAATTCGATAACATATTCAAGCGAACAACAACAACAGAACAACACGGGTGATATTGATATACGACCAGCCAAGCAGGAGGATAATAACACACGAAGCATAGCGAAAGATACGGTTGTGCCATTCGTGCCGATATTTGTGGAAGAAGCCGATGTTATACAAGGTGCTAAGGATATACTGAAAGTAATACGACCTAATTGGGACCTCAATCACGTTGACTTTAAGGTAATTTAAACACATACATATGTAAATATATATGT